TTTTTTCCATAGACTTTTTTCTTAAATTTGCCATAATAATTAATGAGTTTACAAAAAAATATTCTGGTACGATAACGTGATGTAATAAAATGTAGAATCAAAACCCATCATTCTTTTTTCAATATTAACTTGGTATTTTTTTGATGTCTCTTAAGTCCCACAGTCTAATTTCAGCCCACTGTGTGTCAGCTAGAAGTGTCTGACAATACTTAATATTACTTTTAAACTATTAATATTTAATATTCTTTAAAATATACATATCGCACCCCTAGATCTAAAATGAGCTAACTCAAAATTCAGCTTCAATTCAATTAATACAAACACAGTTATAACAGTAGTTTTTTAGTTAATGAAGAAAAAATATTTCCATTAATTGGATGTGAGTCCTATGAATTGATTTATTCGAAAAAATCGCCCGAAATTTTTTTTAGTTGATTGCACTTTAGATCTTGGTGTGCGATATGTACATACAGACATACATACATATGTACGAAAAAGATTAATAAAAAACTGTATGTCGCATTACCCGGGTGTTTTTCGTTTAACCGGCACCGACATATGTATGTATATTACCCGGGTACTCGGGCATATCGGGTAATACCTGGGTATTATCAGCCCTAATTCATACATACATTCATACATATTAAGGATGCCAAAATATGCGGAAAATTGTGATCCCGGGATCTCGGGATATTTTATAAGTAATCCCGGGCTCGCGGGATTTATCCCAGGATTCACATTGAGACATAACTTTTAGAAGATGGTAGTGATTCAACAAATACAACAATTACTTGTATTTTGTTTTTGCTTTTAGCGGGCAATCGCCAAATCTCAGCTATTCTTAAACAAATGAAAAAAAGGCGACGGAAAACACAAACACACTCACGTTTTCACTCAAGTAGGGATCATGCGATTTGTGCATTTGTACAGATTTGTACGTTTTGGCAGTCACAAAGTGGCGTTGTTTAGAAATTTGAGTTCGGCTCAATAAATGATCTTCACTTCACTCACTACCGAATTACAAAATTTTGACAATCAAACGCTACTCACAGCTAATGAAACAACATCAGTGTAGGGTAATTAAACTATATGTTTTTATACTTGTTTAAATTCTTTATGTTCAATTTATGGTTCAATGAATTTGTTTGTTATCAAAAAGAAAATTGGAACTTGCTGTCGAGATAAATAAAATTAGTACCATACTCATGGGAAAACTTGGCGGTATTGGAAAAGGGGGCGTGGCACCTCCCATAGGCGTGAATTATTTAATCAGCTCTAACTTCGGAACTATAAGTCACATGAACTTGAAATTTGGTATGCAAACATATCTATGGTAGATGCTTATCTTAAAGTATGTACATATAAATGAGTTTGTAAAGAGGCGTGGCAGATAACATAGACGTGGAAGTTTTAGTAAGTCATAACTTCGGAACCATAAGTCACATGAACTTGAAATGTGGTGTGCAGACATATCTATGGTAGGTGCTTATAGTAAGGTATATACATACATATG